AAGTGGGAGAACTTGCACAATTGGTGGCTGACTAAATACTTTTTTGCCCCACTGTATCTCACTAAGAAAGTAGATGAATATCTAAAGAAAAAAAATTACTGAGGATTACAGAGGAACAGAGACATCTTATGAATGGAGCTATAACAATAAGGGAAGTTTCTGAAGCTATAAAAAAGATTAAACTAGGAAAGGTGCCTGAACCAGATGGATTATCAGGTTCTTATAAATACTTTGAGGACAAACTTTTTCAACCTTTACAAAACTTGATAAACTCTATCCTACAGATGATCATTGTTGAGTTCAAAGAAATATTGCTTCTTATTTATGTAGAATGCATTTAATTTCTAATTTACTTTCTTTACCTCATTTTGATGGGATTCCTAACAGCCAGACAACTTTCAGAAATAGCATTAATGTCTGTGCTATGCTTAGATTCTAGTTGTGATTCAGTGGCTGATGCAAAGATGGAGGATGCCGGGAATCTAGAGGAGTCATGCAGTTTTCCAAGGTGTCAGGCGTATCAACCCTTGGTGACCAAACTAGAAAATCTTGTTGCAGTGCAGCCTGATCGTATACGCTGTGGGGTACAGTATATTTTCATTTCTTCAAAGTTGATCTGATAGGGTGAGCTGGAAGAGAAATCATGCTGTGGTGTGGATATAGCTTATCACAACTATCCACAAAATAGGCTTGTGCTTACACTGCTAGCCAAATTTTTGGGTTGGACTCTCCAGAGTATGTAGGTAAGAAAATGTGTAATGTGTGTGACCCTGTTACACATTTTTTTTTTCCTGCATGTGGGATGGTAAACCTGCAATTTTCCAAATACTGATGAACCAAAACTCCAGCAGGCCCAGCCAGCATAGACACTGATTAAGGGTGCTTAATTAAGTCACTGCTCACAACATCTGGTGGACCACAAGTTCTCTATTCCTGCCATTTTGTTTTGGCTATGCATTTCCTTTTCCTATTCCACATTGTTATCTGGGTCTTACATGGGTGTACATTAATTAGAGTTTTGTTTTCTGTAATTCATCTTATAGTGGGAGGGAAACAAAGTACGTTGCTGGTATTTTTTATAACAGATGATGTTATAGTTCTGCTCTGACATAGGTATAATGATTTTATACCTTTGTGGCTGCATCTTTGGCCTGAGTGTACCAGAGGGATAGGGCTTGTACCAAGAAGGTGTGTTTCCAGCTTCCTGTTGTTTTCCTCCCCCTCCCCTCTGCAACCTCCTGAAAAGAGAGAATCCACAGGATTTCCACCACGATGAACAATAAGATGAGAAAATTCAATTTGGAGGAAATGGTACTTAGTTAATCCAGACCCAAACCATATAGGGATTTATAGATCATTACTAGCACTTTGAATTTCATTCAGAAACTTGGTAAGCAGAGTAGCAACCTCAGTATTGGTACTGTACTGCTGAAATGGTTCTTACCTGCCAGCAAGTGGGCTGCTGCATTTTGAAGCAACTGTAGTTTTAGATAATCTTAAAGGTAGCCCAAAGCAAAGAGAGTATTGCAGTAATCCAATCTAGAGGTAATGAGGATATGAGTGATTTTTGCTAAGGCCTCCTGCTCCGAAAAGTGCTGCAACTGAGGCACCAGCAAAGCTCTCTCTGCTACTCCACAAGGAGCTTAGTGTCTAGGAGGAACTGAAGTTGTGGACTTGCTCCTTCAAGGGAAATACAACCCCCTCCAGAGTGAGCATGGGGACTGACAGCACATCTGATAGTTTCTACATGAACAGCAGGTCTTTCTTGCCTTTTTTTGCCTCTTTCAGCCTTTTTAAAGATTTCAATGGAACAAACTGGGGGGAAGAAGTATCTTCTTTTAAAATTGTTCTGCCTTATAACCCAGCTGGTTCTTCATAATACTGTACTTCAGTTTCATCACTGCTGCAGTTGTTTTAGTTACCTGAGGTGCTTTGCAAAAGAGGTGGATTTGGTTCAGAGAACTGTTGGAGGAAAAAAAACACAAGCCATGTGCACCAAAGCCTGATGGAAAATCCTTAGAAAGGTTCAAAAATCTGCTTCATATATTTTTTCAGGCCAAACTTGACTCTTAAGGATAAATAAGTCTTTGAAATAACTGAAATAACATTCAGTTTTATCTGAATGTGGAGGTGTGCATTCAAATGTTTTGTGAAAAACTGAGGTGGAAAATTACAATTAACTGAAAACAACATGAATGGGAAAATAACATAGGGATCAGTAGCAGCAGGAGAAACAAGTCATTTTTTCAGTTGCAGTTTTTTAAAATTTTGCATCCTTTAAAAAAAAAGTTACATGTTTTAGAACAAGTTTGTGGTTGATTTATTTGCTGAGTGGTAGAACTTATGTTTATTATTGGCTTAAATGCTTAAATACATCCTGATGCTTTTAATATTGTCACTTATGAATTTGCTAAATGAAGGACAGCAATGTCTCTCTGTTGCTCTGCCTCTCATATCACTGTCACCACAATCGTGTTGTGATGAAAATAAACTTTGTTTCATTCCCTCTGAACCAATGTTATCAGGCTTTCAGCAGCCATCTATATAGTACTGGAAAAGAGGATGCATTCTCCCTCATCCCAAGCACAAATAAAGGGAGAGCTTGTGTCTGTAGATCCTCATGCCCAAAAAAGACACCAATGTATAGTGAAACTTGATATTCTGAAGCCCCTGGATCTTACCGTGCTTTTTTAAAATGTAGGTGCAGACAACCATTTTTATAATTCTAAAATGCAAATTGGATAGCCAAATAAAAATGGAAGTGGAATTTTCTTCTAAGAGCTGTCAGCCTCTGCGACTACCAGCAAGTATTGAGAATGAGTATACAGTCTCCGTTTACACACCTGGTAAGTACAAAAGCTGGCCTTTTTATTCTGAACTTCATCTCTGTGTTAGAAAATTTTAATAGAGTTTCTCTTCATGTTAGTGCCATATTTGCACTAGGCTAACACACTATCAAAAATATTTTTTCTGTCATTAAGGAAGCAAAAAGCTACAATTAGAAACTAAATTTGTTTACACAAAGCCACAAGTGGATGACTGGTAGAATGCACAGAGCTAAAAGAGTTGCTTAGAGTATCCTTCCTGTTTTTGCACTTCTGCATAATGTCATAAGAGGGGACTTGCATTTCTCATGGGTTAATACATGAGCTCCAGATGTGGGGAGAAAGCTGACACAGGAAGCAGAAGCTCGGCTGCACTTCCTGTTTCCCCCACTTTCTGTCCATGCTGTTGTTAATTTTAACAATGTGATATTTTTAAAAGCATCAGGGAACTTCTCTTTATATGAAGTGTTATATATCTTCAGAGAAGATATTATATCTCTATACATATAATAGCTAATTTAATTTTTATTCAAACAGACTGAAAAGCATGCCTGTGATGTTTAAATTTTTAATAAAAATAAGATTGCTATAAAGGAAGAAACTTTTGTCACTCTCCTTTATTACATTATCAAGATACTTATGTTTATAACCGTGGAATCTTAATGTTGGACACTGTTTGGATCAGCGCACAGTATGGAGCAAGCAGCATCAAGCATCTGAAGGACATGATGCCGGCTTTAACACACTGGATATCTGCTTGTCACTGCTACCCTGGTCACTGGATTTCCGATTCAAAATAGTAGCCTGATATACTCAAAGACTCTCCACATGTTTTTTTAAAACATAAGAAACGAAACAACATCGTTCTAAACATCAACAATGGTCTGAAAGCTTATTTTATACCTCTCTGATCCCTTTTAATTATACAGCAAGAGAAATTGCTATAGTCGCCAGAATTCTTTTTTAGGTGCCTTTTGATTGTTTGGAATACTGATTGCTTAATACTTTTAAGATTTTATGAATTTCTTAAATTTTACAATTAATTTTATTTAGGGTCAAATGTGATCCTACATGGATTCTGCTACCGCTACTGAATGGAAGCAAAATTGCTCACTCTTCCTCTCCTTTTGTCTTTTCCCTACACTGTTCTTTCCCTTTTGACAAACATAATGTGAAGGGAGAGCTGCACATTAAAGCAAAGTTAATAAAATTTCCACAAGAATGCCTTATTTGCAAGATGCCATTTTAACAATTTCAATAAAATCCACAGGGTTTTTTTTTTGCCTTTAATAGATACCTTAAAATAAAACCACACCAGATCTGTGTATAAAATCAGAAGTGTTTTATGCATATTCCTCTACAATAGGTAGTCCTCAGTTAATGACCATTTGTTCAGCGACTGTTCAAAGTTACAGCAGCGCTAAACAAATCGTAGTTATTCCCTGTCCCTGAAGTTATGGCCGTTGCAGCACGCCTGTGGCCACGTGATCAAAATCCAAGTGCTTGGCAACCTTGGGGTGCTTCAACTTCCCCACCCACCTATCTCCCCCCATCTCTGCCCTTTTGGCTGCCCTGCACTCCACTGCCCTGTGCTCTGCTGCCCTGCCACCTGCAGCTGACCTTTGCTGTTGTCTTCCTCCCACTGTTGACGAGCTGCGCCTGGCCCAGCCCTTTGCAAGGCAGCTGCTGACTGTGCCGGGCCTTCTTCCCGAGGCTGTGCGCACCCTTGTCCAAATCACATGTAGCCTTCTTGTGAGGCTTCAAGGAGAAGGCCAATGTGATTTGGACAAGGGCATGTGCAGCCTCGGGAAGAAGGCCGGGCACATCAGCAGCTGCCTTGTGAAGGGCCGGGTGCACCTCATCAGCGGGAAGAAGTAGAAAGTGAAGATCAGCTGGGGATGGCAGGGCCAGCAGAGGCGGCAAGTGCAGGGCAGCCAAAAGAGATCGGGGGGGAGATTCGTGGAGGGGGGAGTTGAAAAGGAGGCAGACCTTTACCTTACTGAGGCTTGGGGCTAGGAGGGAGCAAGCTGGGTCGACTGGGTGGGAATTGGTTAATGACAGCAACCAGACCACCAAGATTACCATTGCAAAGTGATGCGGTCAGATGACATTGCGCTTTATGACTGCGTCGCTTAGCGATGGAAATTCTGGTGCCAATAACCACAGTTAACCAACAACTACCTGTATACACTCACTCCTCATTTCCGGTGCTGGGATTAATGGAGTCGGGATGAATTCTAGTGAAGCTCTGCAATTGGAGTTCTTATCGCATCCGGTAAGGACGACCTGGGAAGTTTTTTTCAGGTCGAAATCAACTCCTGGTGAAAGGAGCTGCGAGTGTGAAAGCTAAGTGTATTCCAGGCAAGCGAGGAGAGCTGCTGAAGAGTAACCTATTTTTTGCAAATGTGGTCTCAATGCGGCTGTACACGGTCGTGCACAGTAGAGAAAGCCTTATTGCACAGCGACAACATGGGCGACACTAAGGGAAACTGTGTTCTTGTTCTCACAGTGTTTCTTGTGTTCCCCATGCCATTCTGATAATAGTTCATGTGTTCTCACTGCTCTACGTTGTCTTGGGGTAAAATTTAATGAATGTCAACCATGGCATTGAAGCAAAGTGCTAATGATACTGTTTCAACAAGTGTTCCCAAGCGGAATGCTCTGTAATGAGCCTAATGGATAAAATTCATTTTGCTTCATTCTGGAAAATCTGTAGCATCCGTAGGCAGACAATTCAGTGTAAATGAATCAACCATCTGTACAATACACCAAAAGGAAGACGATGTTTATGAAGCTGTTAAGAAGCGATGGAAAAAACAGAAAAGTGGCTTAGTTTGTGGATAAATGAAATGGTTGGCCTCAAGGGGAGTGTTGTGGACAGCATTACTATAATGAACAATGCCGTACAAATTTACGAAGATTTGAATGAAAATCAGGAAAATGTGAAGCCATTCCCTGGTAGTGCTGACTGGTTGGAACATTTTAAAAACAGGTACGGGTTAAAAAAATGTGAAACTGTCAGGTGAGGCTGGTTCAGCAAATAACAGAAGCCACCAAAGAAAAACCTCTGAAAACCATCTAAAACAAAGCATACCTGTCAGAGCAGGTTTTTAATGCCAATGGAACAGGATTGTTTTACAAACAAACAGGCAAATGTATGTACATTTCCAAAGGTGTCACCAAAGCACCTGTCTTTAAGGTGTTTAAAGATTGTGCCACCCTACTTTTGTGTACAAATGCTAGAGGTGACTTTAAATGTAAACCTCCAATGGTATACAGGGGCCAAAATCCATGCACCCTTAAAGGAAAAATCTGAACCACCTGCCAGTCATTTGGAAATGGAACCACAAAGCCTGGATGACTTCCAACATTTCTGGGACTGGCTCAACAACTACATCATCCCTGCAGTAGAACAGTAGCTCGCAAGAAAGAGCCTTGCATTCAAGATTATACAGCTATTGGACAACACACCTGTTCACATTTGTGTGGACCTTGAAAATGCCCACCTAAATGTCAAAGTCCTTTATGCCCCTGAACACTATTTCTGCTCCCCAGCCACTTGATCAGGGCATTATAAAGGCTTTCAAAAGCCATTATACCCAGGAGCCATTATACCCATTATACCCATTTTAACAGAACATTTTACTGCCTGTTGAAGTTCACTCTTTAAAATAAAATACTTTAAATACTATACTGTAGGTTCTTTATTATTGGAAACATGATGTGTTTACAGTAACGAATATACTGAAGAGAGTCCATGGAAACCTAACCCTATTTTTCCCATAGGATCAGTGCTTCAGTAACTGTGATTTCTATTTCTGTGGGGGTTTTCAAGAACGTCACCCTTGTGGATAACAAGGATTGAGTGTATTTGAATAAAATTAGAAAGATAGTCTCTTTCAAATCAAGCTTGACTCCTGGTGACTTCATGGATTCATCCATGTAGTTTTATTGGCAACAGTAAGGAACCATTTTATCATTGCTTTCTGAAATGCTGCATAACCTAGTCTAGCCTTTGGCCCCAGATTAACTTGGTGATCTCCCATCTAAGTATTAATCAGTTTTCTGAACCAAGGCAAAGCTGTCCAGGTACTGCTACTTTCTGAAACTTTTTAATTTGGATGGAACTTAAATTGACCTTGAAAGAGCAGTTAAAGTGATAGGACTTTATCACTTTAAAAACTAAAATAAATATCTAAGAATAGAATTAAAAATGTGGACTATTGCTTGATTCTAACCAGCAGCGTAATTTGCATGAGCAGTTTTCTAACTTTAGCTTTTCAATTCTGTAAAGGATAAAGACTCTTTTGAGTCAAATTCCACTTGAGATAACTTCATATCACATCCTGTGTATTTTCTTGGCAGCTATATGGAAGTTTATGCCACTGCTTTTTTCCAGCATGTTTTTTTTTTTTCCAACTTCTTATATATCCCTTTTCTTTTGCTGGTGGTATCCCATCTAAGGACTCATCAAGTCTAACTGACTCTGTACATTTGGCTTACTTTAGGATTAAAGAGGTATCCAGTTTACATGTACACATATGCTGGCCACTGCTTCTTTCAGCACAATGAATGGGTTTCCTTTTAGACACTGACTATTGCTGATCTTTGTCTCACCCTTCAGACTTATCACCTGGAACTGTATATCTGAGACTGTTTTCTGGAAATTTAATGATAGCTGAAGCAAACATTAATTATTACACTGATATGGAAGAAATTAGCAACTTGCTGTCTACTGCAGCAAATCCAGTGGAATTCATGTGTCAGGTAAAATATTAAACTAGTTTCAAAGATATATCACATCCAGTATCACTTAGATATTAGAAAGATAGGTATCTTGAATTGCACCTGGAAGCTCACTGCTAATTATGGAACAGTGGTGTCACCTGGGCATACTGAGGCTTACCCTAACACTACCCACACTGCTGCATTCTGCACCAGCTGTAGCTTCCAAGTGGTCTTCAAGGGCAACCCTAGGTAGACCACGTTACAATAGTGCAACCATGAGGTGACTAGTGCTGGGTGACAGTTCTTGATTACATCTATAGGATTTTTCTTCCTCAGAAAGAAGGGCTCTTTCAGTTGCATGGGTTCCTCTGTGACTTTAATGGTTTGGTGAGTACATGAGTGGATATCTATGGCAGTGGCATGGTTTTGGGATCAGGACCAGAAGTCTGAGCTCCTTCTTTGAGGGGGATGCAGGGCTCTGGAATTGATATCCTCTACTTTTTCAGAATATGGTAGCTTCTCAAGTTTGTATCCTTGCTTTCTGACAGTTGTCCCTTGGAAGAGGTATCTAGCATGGCTCTGGGCATGCATTATTCTTCTCAGTATTCAATATCTCTGGTTTAAGTTTCCTAAATTCAAATAAAGAATAAAGCAAAGGTAATTCAGCCATGAACATTTTTAGTTTCATGTAGCTTGAGATGTAAAATATATAGAACTTCCGCGACATAGCTACAGTTTCTGCAGTAATGTTTAGTTAGAAGCTATATATTACTTAATTTGTTCCACATTTATTAACTTATGATTTCTAAAGGTTTGGTAGGAAATACTGTGTTATAGAATAAAAAAGCTAATTTTCCTATCAGCCATCATATGCAATACTGCTTTCAGTATCACTACAAACTTACTTAAAACATTTTTTCTGTTAAGATCTCTTACTTACTAAATCCTGGTAAATAGTTATTTCTTAAAGTGACAGACAAATTCTTAATACATTGGACCAGTGTTGGGTATACACAATTAGCAGTTGTTCTCTTCTTATATCCAGGCATTTAAAATTGTACCTTACAACACAGAGGCTCTGGACAAAATCCTCACAGATTCACTGAAAAATAACCTTCCTGCCAGTGGTTTTCACCTCTTAGGAATCAACCAATTGGAGGAAGACAATATTACTAGTGAGTATGATGGTAATTTGGGGGAAAAAAGCCTATATGAATGATTCTATACTAAGATCAAGTGCTACTATATTCTGCAAAAAGGCACTATACTGTTATATGAATATCAGTTCAGGCAGGGAGGGTATGCTACCGACCCCGTTGATGAAAGAATGTCGACTGGTGGGGTCCAGAAAGAGAGCCTTCCCTGCCGTGGCCCCCGCCCTATGGAATACTCCCCCCCCAGAGGTGAGGCAGGCCCCAACTCTCTTGTCCTTGCCGTAAGCACTCAAGACCCGGCTCTGCC